AAAGGGAATGGGTAAACAGTAGAGGTATCGAGTATCTGGCAACAAAAAGAAAAGGATTGGTTCACAGAGAGAGCTGCAGGACTAAGTAAACGTCTGATTTCCAAGAGAAAGGAAATCTTAGTCTGAAAAGTTAAAAGAAAGAAGCTCACATAAAGACTAAATTAGTTCCCAGGTAAGGCAGAAAGTATAAGGGGTACTCAGAACTGAGGAACAGCTGGAAGAAATTTTTTTAAAAGATGATTTCTGGCCAGGCGCGGTGGCTCACACCTGTAATCCCAGCACTTTGGGAGGCCAAGGCGAAAGGATTATGAGGTCAGGAGATTAAGACCATCCGGGCCAAACTTGGTGGTGAAACCCCATCTCTACTATAATTACAAAAAAAATTAGCTGGGCGTGGCGGTGCATGCCTGTAGTCCCAGCTACTCAGGAGGCTGAGGCAGGAGAATTGCTTGAACCTAGGAGGCAGAGATTGCAGTGAGCGAGATCTCACTACTACACTATAGCCTGCACAACAGCTCGACACTCCGTCTCAAAAAAAAAAAAGAATTCCAAAGTAAAGAATAAGCATTATTGTGCTTGCTTCAACAGCACAATACTAAAATTGGAAGAATAAGCATTATTTCTCAGTCACCATAAAGTATTCTTCACCATAAAAGAGTACTCATTTTCAACTATTATAAGGCCTTATAAAAATTACAGACCAGGCTTTAAGAATGAGGCTAGAATATATTTTTTTCTTTGACACGGAGTCTCACTCTGTCCCCAGGCTACAGTGCAGTGTCACCATTTCAGCTCACTGCAACCTTCACCTCCCAGGTTCAAGCAATTCTCCTACCTCAGCCTCCCAAGTAGCTGGGACTACAGGTGCACCCCACCATATCCAGCTAATTTTTGTATATTTAGTAGAGATGGGATTGCACCATGTTGGCCAGGATGTTCTCAATCTCCTGACCTCCTGATCTGCCCACATCAGCCTCCCAAAGTGCTGGGATTACAGGCATAAGCCATCATATTTTTTAAATCCAAAAAGGTCCAAAGTTTTGCAAATCTATTTGTCTAATTAACATGTGGTTTGTTCAAAGACACTTGGCAATCATTGTATACTGTGAATCTCTCACTGCATATTCAAAGAACATTCAGATTAACACTCAATATATGAGAACAACAATTATGCTATTATTACCTCTAAAATCAGAGTTTATAACATGTTCTTTGAGTAGGGTTTCTTTTTGGCTTTTATATACTGCTTTTGCTTGATCAGCTATGAAAAATATAATTGCTTTAAATGAACATATTTACAACAAATCATTTTGGGATGGACTTCTTTTTTTTTAAGTTCAAATATCCATAGTTTTCCCATATTTCCTTTCAGAAATAAAGCTCTACAGGGACCAGTGGGGCATACAGAACTAGGTGAGATACACAGAAGATTCTAATTTGTTTGGAAACCAGGTTAATGAGCCACAATTTAAAGCTACGCACCTGGCAAGCCACAGTGGCTCACACCTGCAATCCCAGCACTTTGAGAGGCCGAGGCCGGTGGATCACCTATGGTCAGGAATTCAAGACCAGCCTGGCCAACGTGGAGAAGCCCTGTTTCTACTAAAAATACAAAAATTAGCTGGGCAGGGTGGCAGGCACCTGTAATCCCAGCTACTTGGGAGGCTGAGGCAAGAGAATTACTTGAACCTGGGAGGCGAAGGTTGCAGTGAGCTGAGATCTCGCCATTGCACCCAGTCCGGGTGACAACAGCAAAAACTCCGTCTCAAAATAATAATAAGCTACACACCTACAATGTGTCAGTTTCAATTAGAAACTTACTATTTGGCACCACAGAGGCAGGTTAAGGAGAGACCTAAGATGTAACTGGTAACATTCAGCTTTCTGGCTATCCACCTTTGCAACTGTCATTTCCCTAATCAAGGAGGTGATTACTTCTAAAATTGGCAATACACATTTAACTTAGGCCATAAATACTAGGTTTAGCTGCAATATTAGCAGGTTAAGCAATTTTGTATTACCCACAAGAATGTGAGCTCAAAATGTCAATATGGAACACATCCACTTCTTTTAAGTGGGTCTACTACACTAAGTTGCTAAGCAATACCCATCAGAGTGCAGTATGTCTGTAATCAGCAGTGGCTAGAAATGCATTTCTGCTTTAATCACACCAAATATTAGAAATCCAACCAAAACATCAGAAACAAGAGTTGCCCTCTTTAGACATGCACATGCTCCCTGGGGGCTGAAGTGGTCCAACATGCATGATGGACCACTAAGCTGTAATAAAAAGGAAAAGCTTAACTCCCCCTGGGCCCAGTAAAGCAAAGTATAGATAATATAATCCAAAATTTAAAAGTTTTATAAATAGTTGAAACTATTAAGATTCTTATACAAATATCTCACAGTACATGCAGGGCTATTTATCCGCTCAACAGAAATGTAAGCAGTGGCTCACGCCTGTAATCCTAGCACTTTGCAGTAGGCAAAGGCAAGTGGATCACCTGAGGTCAGGAGTTTGAGACCAGCCTGGCCAACATGGTGAAACTCCATCTCTACTAGAAATGGTGTATGCCTGTAGTTCCAGCTACTTGGGAGACTGAAGCAGGAGAAATCACTTGAATGAGGGAGGCTGAGATCGAGCTACTGCACTCCAGTCTGGGCCATAGAGCAAGACCTTGCCTCCCAAAAAAAAAAAAAAAGAATTTCTCATAGATCATATGTGTCTTTTTCTTTTTTCAGACAGTCTCCCTCTGTCACCCAGGCTGGAGTGGAGTGGCAGGATCTCAACTCGCTGCAACCTCCACCTCCCTGGTTCAAGCAATTCCCCCTGCCTCAGCCTCCTAAGGAGCTAGGATGACGGGCATGCACCACCTGGCCCCCAGCTAATTTTGTTGTATTTTTAGTTGAGACAAAGTTTCATCATGTTGGCCAGACTGGTCTCGAACTCCTGACTTCAGGCAATTCACCTGCACAGGCCTCCTAAAGTGCTGGGATTACAGGCGTGAGCCACCGCGCCTGGCCTATATCTTTCTCTTAATTACAACATAAGGAGTGAAGAAAATGCTGTTTTAAAAACTTATGTCCTTAATTTTTAACAGATCGTGGTGAGTTTGATTCCACAATATGCATAACTAACTACGAAGCCTTAAGGTCTTTTAACACTAGGGACAGAAGGAAAAACAGTTTCTTGCATTGCTGGGCATATAATCAAAATCATTCTTCTTTTAAATACCTTTTCCACCATGGTAAACAAGCCTAGAGATGAACAGGTAAGAAGCGAAAAAATAAAATTAAGAAAAAACTGAAAATAAATTTTTTTAACGTTTAAAAATTGAGGAGAATGGCGGCATGAATCCTTCAAATTCCTACATGCCGATTCTGCTGTGCACAAGGTTCTGCTTTGAGTTTCTTCTATGTGCCATTTAAATCCTTTATTAAAATTACAGAGAGTCTTTTCTATCAAGTTTTAAATCTAATACTCTATCAATAATGCAATCTTTTATATACAGTAACATTAAACTTCAGATGGATTAGTAGTATAGTTTGGTTTATAGTATGCCTTTGGGTCTGGAAGCAGAAAAATGGATGAAATAATTCCTTCAAGTCTCTACAGCTTCATAATTCAATTTTATCTACATAGGTTCTTCTCAACTTCCTCTGCCTGCTCCTAGATATTTTTCATGTGGGTCTGAAACACTTTGAGTCCGGTAAAGAAATGTTTATGGATCAAATAAGAGAGAAACTCTTCCCCCACCCCTTCAGCTCCCAGTCAGTTTTACCATTATATCCAGTAAACAAAATAGATTGACTCAATCTTAAACAATTCCCTCATCACAGGAAGCCCATCGCAACCACAGCTGCAAAAAGTACCCTTAAACCTTCCCCAACTACCTACAGCAACACAAAGTTAAACTAACTTCCACTGACAAAAGGCTACGTGTGCCTTCAGCCCCAGGATTAATCGTGTGAAACCCTGGCGATAAAAAGTCACCTCCTCAAGCTACAAAACTTTTTTTTTAATCCCAAATATTCTCAATGAAACTTCTCTTGTCAACCGGGAGGAGAGAGTCAAAAACAACAACAAACACTAGCTGAACAACCAGCTCCAGGACCACATCCCAGCTGTCTTTGCTCCTGTTGTCAGTGGCTCACAAGCAGTTTCTCACTTTCCCTTCACTGTTCTCCCCTTACTCCCCAACATTCTCACTGGAGAATACATCACCTCCTCAGACCGCTGGCAAGAAAAAAAAGGGAGAGAAGAGACTGCAATTATCAAGGAAGAGGAAGATATTTCAGAACCACGTTTTCCCCTGCAAATGGCAATTTAAAAAATGACAAGTCTGTGTCATCAGGATATGGGGGGACGACGTTGTGGGGCATCACAAAGATGTGCAGTGAGTGTGCACTTGAAGCTCTCAGGGCAGGATGAGACGAGGAGCGGAAAGTAAGAAAACCTGTGTCTTCCTTGCTTTCTGCTCTTCCCCCTCCAGGAGAGGAAGCTGAAGAAACTGGGGGAGGGGCGGAATGTTATCGTTCTCCTATTGGGGGTACACAAGACAGGCCTTAGGGTTCGCTCGTCCCCAGTAAGGAGGATCACGGAGGGAAGAGGAAGAAAGAACCCCTAAACGTTACCCACCTCTGTTCAAAACAAAACTAAGGGGGTGATTAAATCCAGTTGGCGCACCCCTGAAGGCGCCCCCAGGTCACTCATCCCTATTCCCAAGCGGAAGGGCTGGGATAAGCGGGATGGAGGGTCGGAGGCTGGTCAGGGACAAGGCCCCACCCCCCGACTTAGGAGGGAAACGGAGCCCAAGCTCCGAGCCGTCCCCTCCTACCCCGCACCTCCCGCCTTGGCCACCCCCTCTTATCCCCCCTTCCCTTCCTTTCCTCCAGAGCCTGAGGCAGCCGCGGGGGAGGCGGCCGCTCCTACCTCCCCTCACCCACTCTGTCCCCACCCCCACTCCGCTCCCACGTCCCGCCCGCCACGGGCCCGTTACCTGCTCGTCGAAGCGGCTGACCACGGCCTGGACCCATTCCACCGGCCTGTGCGCGGCCATGTCCTCCCCGCGGCCGGGGGGCGGCAGAGGGAAGGGTGGGCCGGCGCCCTGGGCCGGGAAGAGCGGGGGCTGAGGTGAGGGAAGAGGCGAGGAGTGGGTCTGAGGAGTGCAGGCTCCCAGCGTTCCCACGGGGGTGGGGATGGGGGGGTCAGCGCCGAGCGGGAGGGGGAGAGGGAAAGGGGGCGTTGGCAAGGAGGCTGGGGGGAGGGGGGTGGGGAAGGGGACCCGGGGAGGGGAGGGGGCCTCTTGGTCGCTCTCCCCACTAGCGCCGTCTCCCCACAGCCATCACAGTCCGAGACGCCGCCATGACACCCCACCGGAAGTGGGATCGTTTCCACGGCCCGGGGAGAGGGAGCGCAAGCAAGCTAGAGATTGAGAGCGCGGCTGGGAAAGGGGAGGGGGAAGCGAGAGGGAAAGGGGACTGCCGCGCATGCGCCCGCGCCGGCCGGTTTCATTAATGAAAAAGCGAGTCCTCCTGGAGGTGACGTCACCTAACTCCTCTGGGCCGACGGGCGAGCGTCCCTCACTGCCGCGGGGCTCACCTAGACTGGCCCTGGGCTCAGCTGGCGAGCGCCAGAGCTGACCCGGAGCATCTGCTCCCATCCCCGCCTCCACCTAGGGCTGCCCCCTCCCCCGCCGGCCTCCGGGTTTGGATTGCTCCCGGAGTTGGAAGTTAGGGCGCCCTGGGGCTAGCCTTTCTCCCAGCGCCTGGATCTCAGTCGCTAATCTCCCAGGGATGCTGTGCTCTCGGCCTCTCTCTGCCTTAAGCTCTCAGAAAAAACAAAGCACACGACTTCTGATTTTCGGGTTCTTCGTAGTTTTGTAGACTGCTGAGAAACAAAAAAGGAAGGCCAAAGAGAGACTCCGTGATTTTTCTTTTTTAGAGGTCGCTTAAATCCCAATGCTAAACCCAGTGGCAATCGAGGTCTAGCCATTGGGTCTAGCATTGGGATTTAAGCCCATCCTCACTCTGCTAAACTCATAGCCTCCCAAGTTAATATAACTTTCGCACAGTTGATAATAGAATGAAGTTTCACCACCCTCAAAACACCTTTAGGGCCTCGCATACATTATTAATTCAATATATTCATCGTCATTTTTAAACCTTTCAACAAACCTTTTCAATACATATCATTATCCTCATTTAACTGACGAATAGGTCACAAGAGGTTCCTTGGTTTGCCCAAGGTCACAGAGTTGGCAGGTGGCAGAGTAAGGAAGTAAAGCTATGAGGTTTAACTCCAAGGAGAGTAGAGGCAGACTATGGCTCTCCTGAAACAAAATCAGTACCAGAGTTGAAAGGATTTCATGTGGAATTGGTTTTGCCAGTTTTCCAGGAAGAGGATTACATCCAAAACAATGGATAATATATCTATATCTGGCATTGGACTTTGAAATGAGTAATTTTAAAATTTGTCTTCCTCGATACATTTTACATAGGTGAATGTTTTTATTTTTCAGAGACAGGGTCTCACTCTGTCGCCCAAGTTGGAGTGCAGTGGCTCAATCATAGCTCACTCCAGCCTCAGACTCCTGGGCTGAAGTGATTCCCCCAAGTTGAAACTCCTGAATAGCTGGGACTACAGATGAGTGCCACCCTGCTTGGCTAATTTTTTTTCTTTTTTTTTTTTTTTGTAGAGACAGAGTCTTGCTATGTTGCCCAGGCTGGTCTGAAACTCCTGGCCTCAATTGATCCCCCTGCCTCGGCCTCCCAAAGTGCTGAGATGACAGGGTGACACCACACAGTGAGATGACAGGGGTGAGCCACCATGCCACACAGTGAGATGACAGGGGTGACACCACACCACACAGTGAGATGACAGGGTGACATCACGCCACACAGGCCCTAGGCTAATGTTAAAATGAATCTACGCATTTCAACCACACGCTAATCAGCCAGTTAGGCCACACAGAGAGACACTGGGTGATAAGGGACAGCAAAACTAGAATTTTAATTTTACTACAGAAAATCCACAAAGCCAGTAGCCACGTACAGAGAGATATATCCTTGAGAAAAGTTTCCAATCTCTAGGTTGGTGGTTGTCCAAAATACATATTAATGTTTTATTCTACTAGAACAAAAAGAGTTTGGACATGTCTTTGGTCCCTTCTTCTTTAAGGATGCAATGCAGACACTCATTTCTTTTAGATGATGTCAGAATGATGACAATGCTGGAAAGAAATGAACGAATATTAAATGAATGTCTATCTATGCTTTTCCCAAGTAGGACCCCTGAAAAAGCACTCACTCATACCCCCAGATAGTATTCCAGTGCCTCCACTGCGCTGCTAAACTTCCAGACCCACAACCTTCCTCTCCTTTTCTGAAAAGCTTTTCAGAGCCCTCCTCTGAAAGTCCCTAACTACTTCCTTGTTGCCATGGCTTTTTGCCTGTCTATCTCCCTGATCTTCTGCCCTACTCTTGGACGCAACTCACCAAAACCCTCAGCTCCCTTGTCTTGCCTGGCATTCTGCTGCTGAAGTTCTTCTGTGCCTTTCTTTTCTCTCCTTCTCTAGTTTCTTCCACAATCGCCTACCCTTCTCTAGCTCTGTGGTAAGACACCCAAACTTCAGGCTCTGGCCCTCTGCTCTTCTTCCTTAACTCAAGCTCCTGCCAGCATGTCATTAATTCATCCCAGTTTGTACTCCCTGTTCTGTTGCCTCCCCTAAGTGCCAAGCCTCTCATTATAGTCGGAGGCCTAGACTTCACCCCAACTTCCTCTCCAATTAAATTCATTCAATTCTACTGAACCAATATTAAGTGTCCAAATGGGCTGGTCGTGGTGGCTCACTCCTATAATCCCAGAACTTTTAGAGGCTAAGGGGGGAGGATTGCTTGAGCTCAGAAGTTCAAGACCAGCCTGGGCAACATAGAGAGACCCCAGCCTCTACCGAAACTTTTTTTTCAATTACCACAATTCACATGTGCCTGTGGTCCCAGCAACTTGGGAGGCTGAAGTGGGAGGACTACTTGAGCTCAAATGTCGGGGCTACAATAAGCTGTGATCTCGCCACTGCACTCCAGCCTAGACAACAGAGCAAGACCCTGTGTCTAAAAAATAAATAAAAATAAAAGTGTCCAAACGCCTGTTATATACTAGGTACTTTGTTAGATCATACATAGTATGGCAGGAATTCTAAACAAAAATGCCAAAGAAGGCCGTGCGCTGTGGCTCACACCTGTACTCCCAGCACTTTGAGAGGCCGAGGCAGGTAGATAACCTGAAGTCAGGAATTTGAGACCAGCCTGGCCAATATGGTGAAACTCCATCTCTACTTAAAAAAAAAAAAAAAATACACATAGCCGGGCATGGTGGCGCACACCTATAATCCCAGCTACTTGCTCAGGTGGCTGAGACAGGAGAATTGCTTGAACTCGGGAGAGGTTGCAGTAAGCCGATATTGTGTCAGTGCATTCCAGCCTGGGTGACAGAGTGAGACTTCATCTCAAAAAAAAAAAAAAAAAAAAAAAAAA